CAGGCTGGCTTCAAACCAAGATGAGTGAACTCGCCCACCCATGTAGCTAAAATTACAGACAGAGGAGTCACTAATGGCTGGCTGGGTTCCTCCCTCCCTTCCTTCCTCCCTCCATCTCTCCTTCCTTCCTTGTCTTCCTGCCCTTCCTGCCTTCCTTCTAACTCAGACAGAAAAATAAGCAAGTGAATAACCTCAGCATCATTTAATCTTGAATGACCCATGGCACAGTAAACTCAAATTAAAGCATGCTTTTAAATTTACACGAGAATGGCAGTATCATGATGAAAACTATAGAGTATTCCATCTAGGTAATGTGTTGTAGTTCTTAGCCACTTCCCTGTCATGGGGTGTTTTAGGGAGTTACCAAGTTTTCCCATATTATAAATGGTACCTCGATGAGCAATCACTGGGTTTTTTTGTTTTTTGTGGGGTTTTTTTTTTTTTTTTTTTTGGTCATGGGGCTTGAACTCTGGGCTTAGGCGTTGTCCTTGCGCTCTTCAGCTCAAGGCAAGTGCTCTACCGTTTTAGCCATAGCGCCACTTCTGGTTTTCTAGTGGTTTATTGGAGATAAGAGTCTCATGGACTTTCCTGCCTGGGCTGGCTTTGAACTGCGACCTCCAGATTTCAGCCTCCTGAGTAGCTAGGATTATAGGCGTGAGCCACCGGCATCTGACACTGGGTAATTTTTGTCCTTAAGAAAAGCCTACTTCCTTTTAGCAAGTTCTTAGGAACAGAGATTGCTGTCAGGCATGACTGAGTGCTTTGGTCCTGTCTTCCCTGTACACACTGAGATCCTCTGCTCAGAGGCCAGCCCTTCCATCTGGATCTCTGCATCTTCCCCAGTCATACTGAACTCTCAGTGTGGCTATATCATTACTTAACGAAAGAACATGACTTTTCTTCTTCTTTTTGGAAGATCAAGTCAGTGTTGAATTTCAGGATGACTAACTGAATTAGGTTACCGGATAACATACACATTTTATAAGCCACATTCATGTTAAGACAGGTTTAAAATGAAAGCTGCTTTTTCCCCTAGCCCTGGGGCTTGAACACAGGACCTGCATTGTCCCTGTGCTTTTTCACTAGTGCTCTACCACTTGAACCACACCTCTACTTCTGGCTTTTTTTGGTAGTTCATTGGTGATAAGAGTTTCATGGGCTTTTCTGTCTGGACTGTCTTCAAACCACAATCTTCAGCTCTTCCTGAATAGCTAGGATTACAGGTGTGAGCCACCATGGCCAGGCTTAAAAGCTGCTTTTCTTATGTTACTCTATGAACTGTGGATGTTTGTTAAATCCTCAAAATATTGTTATCATACAGTAGGTTGTTGGAGGACATGGTTGTGCATGCGATTGTGAACTATTCTGTTTATTGTTTAGTATTCATTAACATCAAGTGAATTTGCCTTATTTATCAAAGTTCCCAGTGTCTTCTACGTTGTATTGTTGCTATGTGTATTCACTTTTCTGTAACAAAATACTCAAGTCAGAGTATCTTTATAAAGAAGGGAGGTTTATTTAAGTCACAGTTTTGGAAGCTGAAAGTCCAAAGACCAGGATGCATGGGTTCCTCCCTTTTGCTAAAGTCTTGATGGCAATGACAGGAGCATATGTGGAAAGAGAGAATGGATTGAGAAACTGGAAGCTGGAGAGAGCAAAGAGTCCCATAGCCTCTGCCGACGCAGTTTTGCAATTGACCTAAGGATTTTCCATTTTTCTCTCCCCACTTGTATTCCCAGCACCAACATAAGGAGGGACACAGACTCCCAACACCTGAACTCTTGGTGGACAAACCACTGCCATGACTGGACACTTCTAGGGGTAGGGCCCAGACAAAACCGCTGCCCTGTCCCTGTCCAGGGGGCCTGTGAAGCTATTGATTTAATAGAAGTGAGGAACCAAGGCTTTATTTTATATTCTCTGACAGTAAGAGCTACAGCATCCTCAGCGCAGAAGCCAGGTGTCCCTGACTGGTGCCAGGGACAAGTGCCAGAGACAGGGCTCAGGCAGCCAGAAGCTGATAGAACCAAGGTTTGTCTGGAGTTGCAATCCACAGGGAGTGTTCAGGCCAAACCAGAGATACCTGGACTGTGTTCAGGCCTTGGAGCTCTTCTTAGGACCTAATGTAGGAAACGAAAGCATCACACAAGGAGCTGAGCATGGGCAGGCCAGGACTAGGGTCTCTCAGCCTCTCTCATTGCTGTGTTGGTACTGTGATAAACATGTGGAGAGCTTGGTGTAAAGATACACAGCTGTTAACTAGGTATCAGTGGCCTATACCTATAATCCTAGACACTCAGGATGCTGACATCTAGAGGATCGCAGTTTAAAGCCAGCGTGAGCAGAAAAAGTTTACTAGGCTCCATCTTCAACATAACCAGCAGAAAGCTGGGCTGGAAGCATGGCTCAAGTTAAAACTCTTACCTTCTATCTGACCAAGTGGTTTGGGGACTGGTTGACTTCCTTGTTTTAGCCTAACTTGCCATTCTTTGGCTTTATCTATTACCTATGCAGCATTTGACATTTATGTTTTAGTGTTCACTTTTATAATTTGGGATCTTTTCTCAGTTGGTGTTGGAGTATAGTTCAGATACCTATGTGTCCACAAGACCAGCTAATGGTACTAAAGTCACTTTTTTTTGCAGGAGTTTGGCTAAGGAGATCAAACTTGAATTTGTCTGTATCATTCAAAGCCATACCAAAATGTTCCAACTGGGAAATTAATGCTGTTCTTTAAAAAAAAATAGTGTTACTATACGGGTGATGTAAAGAGGGATTACGGTTAAATAAGTCAAGTATAGAGTATATTTGTTTTTGGACAATGTCACTTCTTCTTTCACTCTCTCCCAGTTTTTCCCGCCAGTCCTTACCGACAAGTTGTGTGGTTCATCTTCAACATAGTGTCCAGTGAATGCCATTGCTGCATTTGTCCCTCCATTTCTGTATTTCCCCTTACACTCGCAAAGACATATAAATGAATAAACAGAACAAAAAGGAAAGAAAACAAAAACAGCTAAAAAGAAAAACAAAAGCTCTTGTTTTCATTTTCTGGAGTTCATTTTGATAAATACTTTTTTATATGATCAGATGCACATAGGCATCTATGCATTTCTTCTCCTAAGAGTATCCTCCTTTGGTCTCACTGTGTGTGAATTAATGTTCTTAAAAGTATACACATTCCAGCGCTTAAGTTCCTTTTTTAAAAAAAGTGGTTGTAGAGTATTTGTCTAGGTAGGACTCATTCTGATATAGAGAAACAGCCCCAGCTATAGGAGGTTGGTTTGAAGGGTAGCAGCCCTAGAGATGGGCTACTAGCTTCTTGTCCTACAGCTGTCACTCATCATCGCCTGACACTGAGCACATGAGTCTCTCAGCTTCTTCATTTGTGAAATGACAATGACTGCATATAGGGACATTATAGCGATGAATTGAGATGAACCTGAAAAGCCCTGATTTCCAGGCTGGTCCATGGTGTTTCATCACTGTGAGCTTGCTAGAAGCTGATCTGATTTGGAAATCTGGGACTGGGGTGTGGTGGGATAATTCCTTCATCCTAGCCCTGGGCTCAATCCCCAGTATGGACTTCGCAGTCTCCTTGTGAGTAGAAGGGATGGTTGTCCTAGAATTGCAGTTTGAATTTAGGTAGTGTTTCCCCCCCCCCGAAAATCTTATATATCCTTGGTTTGGTTTATTGATGTTTTAAGTTTTGTTTTGTTCTGGGATGAAACCCAGAACATTGTACTTGCTTGACAAGCACGTTGCCACTGAACTACATTACCTGATGTGGAAGAAATAATTGTATTGTCAAAGTCATAGAATTCACAAACTTTATAGACCATGATAATGACAATTTGCCTTGTGAAGTTTAAAATATATTTGTGACTTTAAGTATCACTATTCCATAATACTGTGAAATATGTGAAATTTATGTAATCACCTAATCTCAATTTTAAAAAACTGGGGATCAAACCCAGAATATTGCACTTGCTAGACAAGCACTTTGCCACTGAACTACATCCCAGCCCTATGTTCTAAGGTTAACTGAAGCAAGCTAGGCAGAAGCATGTGCCATTGTCAGCCAGACCTCATTGACTGAGTGCATCTGAGTGAAGAAGAGCTCCGTGCTGGCTCTAAGAACACAAGGAGGGCAGGCTCCCTGAGAAGTAAACCCCTAGTAGGGAATGGAAAGGCTGGAATCATTACTGCTCTTAGGGAATTAATGATCCTTGGAGAGATTCCATTCTAGGCAGGCAGAGCATCTGATTTCCTTTAGGTATTGTGGTAATCCATTATGTTATTAGTCATAAGGTAGTGTCCTGTTAGTGTCTTTGGGTCAGCACACAGCCCTGGTCCAGGAATTGTCTTGCTAAGAGGAGGCAGAGCTCTTCTGATTCTGTTTGCAGTGTTAATCTGCTGCTTGTTCAGATCATTTGTACAGGGCTTTATGGAGAAGTTGCACAAACCCCATCTGCTAAAATATTATGATTATTTATTTATTTATTGTTTGGTCATGGGGTCTGAACTCTGGGCCTGGGCACTATCCCTCAGCTCTTCAGCTCAAGGCTAGCGCTCTACCACTTGAGCTACAGCACCATTTCCAGCTTTTTCTGCTTATGTAGTGCTAAGGAATGGAACCCCCAGGGCCTCATGCATGCAAGGCAAACACTCTACCATTGAGCCACCTTCCCAGCCCTGCTAAAATATTATGAACATCTCCTGGTTTGGGAGTCCTGCCTCACTGGCTGGACTCTAGGAAGGCTGGCATATAAAGATCTTAGTACCAAGGAAAGTGAGTAGAATTGTCAAAATGTTTTGTTCCAAGATCAGGCCTTCTCACTATGATATCAGTCTCCTCCCCATCCATGGTGATGAGATTGTAGGCTGGAGCCCAGTAAGTCCTAGCTTTTCCCTCCCTTCCTAATTCCAAGTACTAGATTTCTATTTTAAGTGGTGTGGGGTCAGGTTACATTTCCTAATGTATTTCCTCTCTCTTCCTGCAGGGGAGCTGCTGAGTCAGCCCAGGCCGGAAGGAGTGGCAGAGATCATCTGCCCCAAGAATGGCAGCGAGAGAGTGAATGTGGCCCTGGTTTACCCACCTACGCCGACTGTGATCAGCCCCTGTTCCAAGTGAGTTCACAAAAGTCTCAGTCCCTGCTTCCTACCCCTGATCCTGGCTCTGTGGATGTGATAACAAAAAGTCAAGTTCAACTGCAACTCACATAAACCAAGAAGAGTCCCTCAAGCAAAGTTCTACTGAGTGACTTCTTCAGCACCACATGGCTTATGCAGCAACATAGGAGCTACTGTTTTTCTCCTTTTTTGTGATTTTTTTTTTACTTTTAAAACATTTTTTCTAACAGCTTTAGGAAATCATTCACAAATCACATCCTTGTTTAAAATGCAGAGTTGGTTGCTTTTTGATATATTTACAGGTATGTGCATTGATGACAGAACGTTTTCCCTCCAGTTCATTTCAGTTTTGTTGAAGGCTGCTGGGGTCTTCTAGAACCCCATCACGTTGCTGAATGACATGGGCCTCATTTCATAAAGCAGTGAAGTCCATTAAATATTAAAGTGCTGCAGAAAATCCATAGCACATTGGTTTTTGCTGTGGGCCTCCAATGCTCTAGCCAGTCCCAGAAATCAAGTACTATGCAGCTTGCTACCACCTTCTCCTCAGATGGAGAAAACCTATAGAGAACACGTATTTGTCCACTAGCTTGCATAGAATGTAAGCATTCTAAATAAAACTAGAGTGCTCGCATTCTAGAGTATTCTAGGTATATTCTACAATACACCCTGTTTTCATTTTTTATTAGTATATTTTTGTAATATCAGGGACTCAAGAGGCAACTTTTTTGTGTATATGTGCCAGTACTGGGGATTGAACTCAGGGCCTTGCATCTTTTTTTTTTTTTTTTGTCAGTTGTTGGGCTTGAACTCTGGGCTTGGGTGCTGTCCCTGTGTTCTTCAGCTCAAGGCAAGCACTGTACTGCGTGAGCCACAGCACCATGTCCGGTTTTCTAGTGGTTTATTGGGAGACAAGAGGCTTTGAACTGTGATCCTCAGATCTCAGCCTCCTGAGTAGCTAGGATTACAGGTGTGAACCACGGGCACCTAGCTGGGACCTTGCATCTTGACTTGGCTTTTGTGCTTAAGGCTGGTGGTCTACCACTTGAGCCACACTTCCACTTCCATCATTTTTGTGGCTAATTGGAGATAAGAGTCATATAGACTTTTCTACTTGGGCTGGCTTTGAACTGTGACTGTCAGATCACAACCTCCTCAGTACCTCGGATTACAGATGTGGCCCACCAGCACCAACCTTTCCAAGAGGCCTCGGATTACAGATGTGGTCCACCAGCATCTAGCTTTCCAAGAGGCCATTTTCAGCCCATACTGAAATTCCTGTGTATCTTGTATCTTAGGAAGTAGCCAACCACAAATATTTTTGGATCCAGTCCTGCTATTTTGATATCAGCAATATGGCTTATTCAGCCCAGCAGTCATACTCATGCAGCAAGCTTTTAGCTTTTCTTCTTAGTTAACCATTTAGATTTTTTTTTCTATCTATAAGCTGTTTATAGAGGACCAGCAAGTTTGCATTTGGGAATTGTGGCTTCTTATCTTACCTTGGAAAACTGATTGTTCAGTCACATTCCAGAGCTCCCTGTGGTCAGAGCAGTTCCTTCTTGTCCCTGAGGTGGCAGATCTACCCCCTGCCTATGCTTTCTGCATGGGGTCTCCAGCCGCACTGAGCTCAGGCGGAGTGTGATGCCTCCTCTGCTCTAAACTGAGCAGCTCATTAGATGGAATGTCCGCCATCCATCTTGGCTGGAAACTATCCAGGAACACCCCCGGGGAATGCTTATTAATGCTGAATTTATAATGCTCTTTCATCTAGCACGTGCCTGAGATAATTCATCATGGGTTTGGCTTGAAGACACTGAGATCTTGAAGTGCCTCGTAAATATTAGAGCGAGATTACATAGGAAAATCTTTGTCAGCAGATGCCCATTCTCAGTATCTAAAAACCCAGAAATTTGACTGTCTGGGTTTTCTTTGAATTTGGCCTCCCCTCTGGTTGCAGATAAGGGGATGTTACAAAGCCAGCAAGGTGTGGATCAGAAGGAAAGACTTACTTAATATGATTGGCAATAATGCCCATTCATCTATTGTTTCACTGTAGACACGTGCCCTTTAATAGGCAAGATAGAGGTGAGAGCTATACGATCCTTTTCTAGAAGCCACAGGTTTCCAGGCCTACATTACCAGTGTTTCCCCATGGGCTTCTTGCTGTTCTGAACAAAAAGAACCCATTTACACCACCTGCAAAGAAAATTATCAGCCTCTCCTTTAGAGTTTATTGAACATAAATGAACCAACAGCTTTGACATTCTAGGTAATCAGAGGCCCCAGGCTTAGCCTTCTACTTGAGAGAGAGGAAGAGAACACCTTTGGGGCCTGAACTACTTTTCACCTAAAAACTGAAATCGTTTTTTTTTTTTTTCAGAGCCTCAAAATGTCTCATAAAAATGGATGACAGATTTGTAGTAGAATAAAGGAATATTCTTGAATAGGAAAATTTCACATCTCCAATAGATAGGAGCAAGGAGAAAATTATCTCTTGTGACCAGTTATATGAAAATATGCTTCCATTCAAAGCTTAGCATTGTGTGGCCTAGTTTACTCCCTATTTTCCTTAAGCATTTACTTGAACCCTGAGCATAAACTAAAAATGAACCCACAGAGGCTCTATCAGGCCCAATGGACGGTGTAAAGCACTGTGACTGACAAACATAGCAAGGGGAGATTTGGAAGGCTGATGAGTGTAGCTATCAAAGGAGGTCATTAATTCCCATGACTTGGGACTGTGCCTAGACATGGGGTACTAGACGGCACCAAGCATTGGGAGACTAAGGTTGCTACCCTGTTTTGCAGCTAAAGCCAAGTTAACTTAAGCAGCTCACTGTGAAGTGATCTTCTACCTCCCTGCCATCCACCAAGTGTAGGTACATGGACAAAATCAGGTTTTCATTATCAGGCATGGATATGGGGATCTCATGCATATGAGTTTCCAGGGGAAGTGACCAGCCATGAACCTTTCAAAAGCATGGAAGTCAGCCAGGTACTCGTGGCTCATGCCTGTCATTCTAGATACTCAAAAGGCTGAGATCAGAAGAATTATGGTTGAAAGCCAGCTCCAGCACAAAAGTCCTAGAGACTTCATCTCCATATAACCAGCAAAAACCTGAACTGGAGGCATAGCTCAAGTGATAGAACCCTGACTTCAAACTCCAACACCAGAGAAACACACACACACACACACACACACACACACACCCTTATGTAAGAGGTGAAGATAAGAAAGTTGGTGTTCAGGGTCAGCCCAAGCCAAACAGAAAAGAAAAAGAGCCAGGCACCAGTAGCTCATGCCTGTAATCTTAGCTACTCAGGAGGCTGAGATCTGAGGATCGTGGTTCAAAGCCAGCCCAGGCAGGAAAGTCTGTGAGACTCTTATCTCCAATAAAACCACTAGAAAACCCGAAGTGGCGCTGTGGCTCAAGAAGTAGAGTGCTCACCGTGAGCTGAAGAGCTGAGGGTCAGCACCCAAGCCCAGAGTTCAAGCCCCACGGCCGACAAAAAAAAAAGAAAGAAAGAAAAAGAAGAAAAAAAGGAAAGGAAAAAATTGGCAAGATCCTACCAACAATCTGGGAATGGTGGTACACATCTGTAATCTGCTACACAGATGGTCATGGTTCCAGGCCAGCTCTGGCAAAAAGAAAAAAAAAAGATGCCAAACTCTGTCAGTGCTAAAGGAATGACTCAAGTGGTAGAGCACTTGCTTAGCAAGCACAAGGCCCAAAGTTCAAGCCCTGATACCACACCAAACTGAACAAAAAGACACCCAGTTGATTCTAATGTGTGTCTACTAGACTTTGTGATCCTTCAGCTTCTGTCCTTAGAGGAGTTGGTTCCTAGTGAGGCAGGCCTTACCTCTGCCTCTTGGACCTTTCTGTGGTCAGTGTCTAGTTGACAGCACCAGTGCAGAGCCTGGCACATGCTGCCTTGCTGTTAGCTCTCGGTCCCTTCTCCTGCTTTGAAGGTAGCACTCTGTTCAAGCCAGGAAAGCGTGAGCCTGACAGGAAGTCATTGTTGTTACTCTGGACTATAAGAATATCCCCCTGAGTAACCCCAGACACCCTTAGCCCTTTGATCTAGAATTCCTGTAGTTTTCAAGAGACTCCACGCCCTTCTTTGAGTTTCCTCCTGTGTATGTCAAATCAGACTTGGTATTTAATTGCCTGCCCTTGGCATAGTATAGATTATGCTACTATGTAGTTTATGAAGCACAACCCCACAAGCCAGGCATGGTGGTGCATGCCTGTAATCCCAGCTCTGTGGGAGGCACAGGTAGAAGGAGGGGGAAAGACCCTACTTGAAAAACAACCTAAAGCAAAAAGGCTCTTTTATAGCAAGTGTGAAGCCCCAAGTTTAAAACCCAATATCAAAATGAACAAATCCACCAATGACTTATCTATATTTTGGTCCTTCCTTATGAACACCAAACTTTTCTATTTCTTGTTTTTAAGATTTGTGGGTACTTTATTCCTTATTCCTTCCTGGGGAACAGTAGAGGTTTTCACTGTGTGTGTGTGTGTGTGTGTGTGTGTGTGCGTGCGTGTGCGTGCGTGTGTGTGTGTGTGCGCGCGCGCTGGCACCAGGGTTTGTTTGAATTCAGGTACTCTTGCTCTCAGTTGGCTTGCTTGCTTACTGCTGGTGCCTGGTGCTCTGCCACTTGAACCAGCCTCTAGACTGGGCATTCTGCTGGTTAATTAGAGATAAAAGCTATCCTGCCAGGATAGCTTCCAACTTTGATCCTACTTGCATGCATTCAGTGAAGATTTTTAATGTCACTCATGGTCCTGGTATTAAGCAGATTCCAGAGTTAGAAAGAAGTTGTTGTAAACACATGTTATCCATGATACAATGTAGTGTAAAGACAGTGAATTGATATGCACCCCCATATACACTGCCAGCCCCCAACTTAAAGGACAGTGGAGAGATGGAAGCTAGGGGAAGCTGATTGGAGGGAGATGAGGAGCCTCCTAAGAACTTACACAGTGCAACTGCACCCTAGACATCCAAAGCATGCTGCAACCCTGGACATGAAGCTTTGGAAGGGACAAAACTACACAGTTGTCCTTGGGTACTAGTTCTACCTGGAGACTGGCTCCAGCATCCCCCTCCCTTCCAGACATCCCAGAATCAGCTGATGCTCAAGATGTTTATAGAAAATATTGTGGCATTTGCATATAACCTGTGCAAACATTTTAAGGGAATAGTACCCAATATAATGCTGTGTGATATGTAATAGATTGTTACCTGAAGCATTGCTATACCATGTTCTTTAGGGAATGAGCTTGGCACGGGTTCAGTCCAAATCAAAATTTCCCAATCTGCGATTGGTTGAATCTGAGGATTCAGAGGACAGGGATGTAGGGAGTGAGACAGGGATAGGGCTGAACTCAGTAGAAAAAGAAGAAGAAGAATCTGTAAAATTCTTAGCTGTCAATTTCTGACTGTCCAAGGGCTCTTTGAGCAGAGATGCTGCCTAATTCCAGCCCTCAGGCTGTGGGAGCTTCTTTGCACAAACACTAGCTTTGCCAGTTGGAGATATCGTGTGTGTGTGTGTGTGTGTGTGTGTGTGTGTGTGTGTGTGTTGTATATTGAACTCAGGTCCTTGTGTTCATGTTAGGTTCAGTGCAGCATGTTTCTCTCTCTAAAGAAATTCTGAAGTATATATTCTATGATATGCTGGCTGAAAACCCAATATAACTTCTGATTTTCATATAAAAGACAGATAAAAGATTCAACAGATTAGCAGATGAAATCTTTTCACCTGGTGGCGTACTGGATTGCAGTCTATGCTCTGCCATGTATTTTCCTTTTTTTCCCTCCTTCTTTCCCTCCCTCCCTCCTTCCTTGTGCCAAACTGGGACTTGAAGTCAGGGCCTAAGCACTGTCCCTTAGCTTTTTAGCACAAGGCTGGCATTCTACCATTTGAGCCACAGCTCCACTTCTAGCTTTTTCTAAGTTAATTGGAGATACAAGCCTCACAGACTTTCCTGCTTGGGCTGGTTTCAAATTGTGATCCTCAGATCTCAGCCTTCTAAGAAACTAAGATTATACCAACACCCTACCCAGTCACATGGAAGGAGTATGTCTTGTTCTTAATTCCTGAAGCTGAACTCTCTCTTGTGGTGGAATGTCTGTGTACTACTCTCTCATCTGAGCAGTGAGAGGGGAGGGGGGATTTATGAGGAATAAAGAAGGGAGATAATTCTGATTTGAACAGGTCATGCGTTACAGAATTAACAAAACTGGACTGGTCTGAAAATTGTTGAGCTAAGCTTTCTCCTTTTCCAAAGGTTTTAATTAGAACAATGGAGGGCAAGCTGAGATATTATATTTCAAAACTCCTTAAAAAAACAACAACTTGGATTATTGCTTCTATATAGTAGAGTTACTTGCTTATCTGTAAGTATTCTCAAAAATTCATTGATGACTTTTCACAAGAACTTTGGTCATGACTTCATTATGACAGAAAGATATTTAAGACCAACAGAAACAACTTTTGTATAAAAGGCAGGATTCAGACAGTAGCCTTTATCATACCAAATAATCCGGCAAAGTCAGTCTATATATGCTCAGGTTAGACAATATGGACTTGAAGAGTGATTTCAGAAAGAAATAGAAGGAAGATGAATTTGGTTTTTATCATAATGGAGTTCTTTCCTACTGACTACAGTATTTTAAAGCGTGATGAGGAGGGGCTGATATTTGAGAGGATAAAGTTAGGTTTGGAGTTTGCCTAATAGTAAAGCCCATTGATTGGCATTGATTTGTTTTGTCCTGTGATAGGAGTGTCAGGCTCATGCTGTGTCTGGCTGCTTATACAGGCTGGGAGAAACTGTCTCTTTAACCTCCTGGCCTCCCATCAGCCACATTGATACTGGAATTCTCCCCTCTCTGCTTAGGTATCTTCATACTTTCTTGGAAAATTAAGTGGAAATGATAGTGCATCTTTCCCTAATGCCAACATTTTTACTGTACCCACTCTGTGACTTTAGGAGCACCAGTTTTAAGGGTAAGTCTCTGGGGGAGCACAGGTAGTTTTTTTGAATAGACAAGGCTCTGGGGGCCTGGAGAATTTAAGGGGAAAAGGGGAGGGGGAGTTGGGAGTGAAGAGATTTCTGGGAACAGGGCTTCATACGGTAACTGGTCTTTTCTTTGTCTAGAATCCATTCACATATGCAAACTATGTGATTCTTTTGTTCAATGTACTATATTAAAAGGTCCTTAACCTTCTATCCTTGTTGGGGAGAAGAAGGTCATTTTAAAATTTACTTGTATTTGCGCATGCATTTGTGTGTGGTATGTGTGTGTAGTGGTACTGAAGCTTGAACTCAGGGCCTTCAATTCTTGTATGGTCTTTTCTCTCAAGGTTGGCACCCTACAACTTGAGCCACAGTTTAACTTCTGGCTTTTTGCTGCTTAATTGGAGATAAGAATCGCATAGACTTTCCTTCCCAGACTGGCTCTGAACTGCAATTCTCAGACCTCAACCTCCTGAATAAATAGGATAGCAAGTGTATGTTACCAGCACCCAGCTAATTTGCTGTTAATAGTATACAGAATATAACATCAGGAAAAGCTTCAACTACCCTACTAGTACAAAGGAGGAGAGGTGTTAATTCCATAGATGGGTATTTTGAATAAGAGTTTACTCTCTCTATTAGCATGGAGCTTTTATTTTACTGCTTTTGAGTTCACATGCATTTGTAATATGTAATATTTGTGTTGCATTGTGATATATCCATACATACACAGTGCATGAGCAGGGGCCTCAGTGATCTGGAGGATCTGATTCTCACAGGGTGAGCTTGTTCCTAGAGAGAGCAAACCACTCACCTGCCAGCACCTTCTCCACAGTCAACACCAACCAGTCCACAGCCCAGATCCTAACTACCTGTCCTATTGGCTATCATGCTTTAGTTCACTGTCCACTTGCCCTAATTCTCCCAGGGCCAGGTATAACACCACTAAGTGACAACCTTTGCACCCCAGTGGTCACTGAAATTATCTACTACCAGTCCTAAGCCTGCTGATCCTGCCCTGCCTGTTTCTCCCATGGAAATCAGAGGAAAGTCTCTTATGACCAGCTCTGTGTTTCCTTGTGAAGACTGCATGGTGTCATGGGCTCCCTCTCTAAATGTGATAGCCTCTATTTCAGCCTTCGTGTCTAAATACTTTGAATTGTTTGTCTTTCTGGTGTCCCAGAAGGGACAAATTGTATACCCTGGGAGAATTTGGGGTCTGAGCTCAGCTACCCTAGGCTGAGCCCTCCCCTAGCTCCACACCTCTCACCAATGTCCTATTTGGGAGCTCCCTGTAAGCTTTGGGGTATAGAACTGATTTACCATTTGCTTCCTACGAAGTTCTTCATCCCTTTTCTTTCTCATGTAATACAATAGCTTTGCACCTAAATGTCCAAGCCAGCAGTCCATCAACTTCAATGCTTTTCTCTCCCTTTCTCGTAAGTAGTCTGTCACTAAGACCTGTAGTCCCAGCTTATCAGAGTGCCTAGTCATGACTGAATTCATTCATGAAACTTTCTCCTCGATCCCTTGCTTTTCTCTAGGCCTACCATGTCTGCCAAGATTCCTGTGAGTCTCAGTTGGCTTCCTACTACCTATTTTTCTCATCCCTTCAATCAATATTATCTTGAATTGTCAGTCCCTGTCACTTCTCTCCCAATTTAAAAGCCTAGAGTGGTGATTACACACTCAAGTTCAAAATCCTGAGCCTAATTCATAGGACCTATCACCATCAGACCCAAGCCACTCTGCTGACCTACGAGATGCTCCCCTTATTGTAGGAGGGGTTAACCACAGTGTTCCCTGGCTGTTGTTTGTCTTGTCAGTGAAAGCCCATCCTTCTTTACAAAAGCATCCCTAACCCTTTGGACTCTATAATCAGCTATATTTTCCTATATGTTTCTTTAATACTTTGTGGGGGGGGGTGTGCATGAGTGCCCGAGTGTGGTACTTGAGCTTTTAGCTCAATGGTAGCACTCTACCACTTGAGCCACAGCTCTACTTCTGTCTTTTTTCTTTGTGGCGGGGGGTGATTAATTGAAGACAAGGATCTCAGGGACTTTCCTGTCTGGCCTAATTTTGAACAGCAATCCTGAGATCTCAGCCTCCTGAGAAGTTAGGATTATAGGCATTGAGCCACCTGCACCCAGCTATCTCTTTAATACTTTACTAATACTTCATTACAGGAATGATCACATAGCTACTTTGTCAAGACAGCATGTACATCATCTATCAGTAGGCCTCTGTTGAGTAGTGGCCTTCTGATAGCCATTGACTAGGCCTTGAGAATTCAGAAATGACCAGTCAGACACTTCTTCAAGAATCTAAAACAACAGGAATCAAAGGAACAGTCAAACTTGTATCAGATTGCAATTAAAATAAATATATTATTAAACTATACCTGCTACCTCTGTTCATAGCTGTGTGAACAGTCTTGTGAGCAGAAATGAATCTCCCAGAAAAATCAGGAAAAGTTGTAGAAAGTAGCATCAGAGGTGCTTCTTGAAGGATAAGGATGAGTTTATTGCAATAGAAAAGGCTAGAGACTTGCTGGCTCTTGATTCTTCTTGGATTTTTAAAGAATGCAAACATGAGACACAGTATGGATGTGAAACATTCTGGAAAGAATGAGTGGTGGAATTTTTTTCCCTGTGGGTCTACTGGGCTAGCTGTTCTGGGTTTCTCACACTTTTGTTACTCAGGGGAGCAGCCAGCCTGATACAACTGTCTTTGCTTCTGAAGGCTCATCAGATTCAGTGAGGAGACTTCAGTGAGGAGACTATTTATTGCCACACCCCCAGCCCCCTGTGAAGCACCTGGTTGAGATGTGCATTTGTACCCTGACATCCTCTTGACAGTTGCTACTAGAATTTAACACAATGTCAAACCTTTCCTTCCCAGGATTCATTATATTCATAGGATTTTTTAAAGTTCATGCGGTTGGAGGTGTGGCTCAGTTGGTGGAATGCTAGCCAATGAGTGAAAGTAGCAGGGACCAAGTTCAAATCCTGGTCTTGGGACATAAAAAAAAACCAAAAAAACAGTTTATATAAAAGCCAACTTTTCTCTCACCCACCAAGCATGTTTCAGTACAGTCTTGTCTAGTTGACAGCCAGGCCTTGCCTATAAGGAAGGAGATGCCCTTCCTCTGGGATCTGGAAGCTCTGGTAGGGGTTGAAAAATTAATAAAATACTGGCTACATGAAATGTGCTATTCCTGTCATATAATACATAGAAAAGAGTTTTTTGGTGGTGTTGTTATTACCTAACTTGAAGGAGCCCTCAGCTAATTCTTGGATGGGCTAGAGGGCCATCTTAGGTGGATGCTGAATTATCAGTGTATCAATCAGTGTCCTTGAAATCAAGCAGCATTGAGCGACATAAAATGGGATGAGGGCAGCAGGACATAACCCCCTTTCCTTTCCTTACATTGTTTTGTAGGTTTTATTAAATGTTGTTAAAATGCTGTTAGGAAACCACACTCAGGTCACTATAGAAAAACCCAAGTAAATGATGGATGCATTTGACATTTTTTTCCTCTACTGTATTTCAGTTGTCTGTCACTTTGATTAGTGAGAATGCAGCTAATGGCTTCTCTGTGTAACGCCAAACTCAAGACCTGGGTTGACAGCCTGGCTAGGAAGACTTTTGTCCTGATGTCTGTGCTTATTTTTTAGCATGTATTTCTATTCCTACTGGATTATTCAGTGTGTGTCCACCTGGGTTGATTGGGAGGAAGCACATCTGTGTTTAGAGTTTGGAGTTGTTAATTAGAAATCTTGTTAAGCTATAAAATTACAATAGAATAACTAGTTAAAGCCAATTAGCATCATTTCCACTTTAGGGCTGATCTGAGTTTAGTCTCACAAGCAATAATGTTTGACTAGTTTACTACTAGAAAGGCTTTTGGGGGGATAGGGGGAGGGTGCATTTTTGGCCTGATATCTACATGTTTTTTCTAGAAATAGAAATGAAAGTCTGTGCAGAAATGCCATTTATGGAATGACTTTCTTTTCTTAAATTTGAGACTCCCATTCTCCTTTACTGGTAGTCATTTCTGGCCTGTCTTATCCCCCGATCCAGGAAGAACGTTGGTGAAAAGCACAGAAACCAGTGACTTTCGTGGCTGTGGAATTTCCATGGAGAAAATAGAGAGTGGAACTCACATGGATCATCTTCTGTACCTGCGAGCCCTCCCCTCTCCCAGGCACTTTCTGTGACCAGGAGTGAAGCTGTGTTCCAGGTGCTTTCAGAGGGTCATTGGAGAGGTGCGGAGGGGCGGGGAAGGGGGCAAGAACATGGAGCATATGTTTCACAACCTGAACCTCAGAACTGTGATCCTCCAAGTAGAATGCTACTTGAAGAAAAGAAAAAAAAATGTCTAATGGCTTCTCAGGGATTTTGTTTTCTGTGCACATTTAAGCCATAGTGACAGTACAGGTGGCAGTATTTTGAGCACTCGGGTTTCAGTTCTGTTCAATGTGAAAAGATGGATCGATCGACTGACGTTCATTGCTGTTCCGTCACTAGTGTAAGATATGTATATGTTTATCTTTATTTTTATAATATGCAAATACATTAAAATTTATACAGTTTGAAGCTTCTAGCATTAGTTGACACTGGGTGCAATATTTTGCATGAGAACTGTGCCAAGATGAGGCTGATTTCTTATTTTAGTATAGGACATTTTTTTGTTCTTTATTCTTTACTCCACCTTCTCAGATTAAAATGGAGAGGTTAAAAAAAGATATAGATTAGCTCTTGGGTTTTGCATTGATTCAAAGAAATTGCCAGTAATTAGCAAGATCTTGCAACAAGCATTTCATAAATGCCTGGCAGTTATCTTGCAAGGTGGAGCGATTATGTCTCCTCACTTCCCACATTAGCACTGGGGCAGCCTCTTGCAGGGGGCCCAAGGAGACAAATAATCCATGGAAAACTTGAGTCTTTCAATAGCTCAAGATGATCAGGAGTCAATTCTAATCATGTGAAGAGTTCTGCTATTAAGTACCTTTTTTTTTTTCTAGAACAGGGTTCAATAATTAGCAGTATGCTTTGCCAGTCCCTCAATATCTGGCTGAGAACATCCTCCTCAATGGAGAACACAGTCCCACTTATTTATTCATACAGAGCCTCTTGTTGGACATCTACTGCCAAGAAGTAGTAAAAGCCTTGTTTTGGAATCTACAGGAGGTAAAACTTTAGCAAACTCAACAAATTACTCTGTCTCCTAATTGGGGCCAAACAGCATATGCTGCTGCAGTAGGAACACATTCTTTAAGGAATGTAAAGGACTCTGTTTACATCTGCCTCCTCCATGTGTGGATAGAAAATGTGTAAAACTGTTTTTCACTAGTGTCAGACAAGAAAGTGAGTCAGCTGGTATTACTCGTTCACTTCCTTTACAAAGTATTGACTGTTGGAACGCCATAGAGCACAAAGTCTCCACATATTTAAAACTTAAGAGTGAACACACAACTGCATCTAAGCATTTGCAAATCAATTTGTGTAGGGACAGACAGTTAATTTCCTTGACTTTAGAACCTGATCATAAAGTCAAGTAGCCTATTTGTAGATTTAAAAAAAATTGACTATGACACTTCATGTGTAAAATTTCATTTTCCTTTAGAACATAGTCACAAGATGAATTTAGTTAACCCTTTTGTCACAGTTCTCGTGTGTGTGTTTGTGTGTGTGTGTGTGTGTGTGTGTACTGAATGGTAACATTTAATTGCTTTATGGACCATTGGCAGTTAGAATTTTTTAATTGGCACCACACAGTTCTTCAGCTGTTAAATCAATCAACTTTGTCCGGTCTTTGCAAAAGACTTCCAAACATATGACTTTGGGCTCACTCCCCAGAAATTCTATCAAGTAAAAGTAATGTCACTGGGGCTGTACCCTTGCAAAATATTTGCTATCTTAATGAACCCATATGCCCATGTTCTTAAAATCTACTACTTATTTTTTTTTTGACAAGTGACGTTTTGTGCTATTATCCGAACCCTAGAGAAGCAGTGTATGAGGAAACCTAGTGTGTTGTGACCAAAGGGTTGTCATGGTAGAGGGTCATATGACCACAAGAAGCTCCAGAAAAGCATGAGAACTTGCTTCAGCATGGGGTGGGGAGAGGTTGAAGATACAGAAAACACTGCTCTACAGGAATTTTTGCCATCTATATAGGAAATTCCATTTTCTCTCTCAACACCTGGAAAGACTCAGCCACCAGCCAAGGCTGACAGACCATTCACTAAGCACAAGAGGAATTTGTTCAACCCAGTGAGTCCTTTGCCTCTCAAACAAATGCCCTCCAAGTTTGTTATGGTTTCTATTCCTGCAAAACCACTTCCTGGAATTGTAAAAGCGCTGCCAGAATAAATGTTTTCCCCCTTCTAAGAAAAAACAACTCTGCTCCTATTGACATTTGTGTATTGGACTCTTCTGTCTGAATAAAGAGGAAAAGGTTTGCTGTGATTCCGGATGAAATGTGTTCTTCATGCCACAGTCTGTGAATTGTAATTGCGATTTCTCACTGCATTGTCTTAATAGGGCAGAAATTTAAAAAAAAATGTCAATAAAAGTACAAAGAAATGGTTTAGCAGTGCATTTCCAGTTTAATTATTTGTTTTATTCAGTGTTGCTAGTTAAGGAGTAACTATGTTATATTTTTAGTTCTTAACTTTGAGCTACAGAGGGTGGGGGTGGCAGCCCTTAAGGAGAAACTCAAAGTTCCCCTACTTTAAAGCTCTCCAGGTGCTAGTGGTTCATGCCTATAATTCTAGAGACTCAGGACGTTGAAACCTAGAGAATCAAGAATCAAAATTATCCCAGGTAGAAAAGTCTATGAGACACCATCTGCAAAATAACCAGCCAAAACTAGGCTGAAGGCATAGCTCAAGTGGCAGAGTACCAGCAAGGAACAAACAACCCAGGTGAGAGTTCAGGACCCTGAATTCAATCCCTAGAACTGGCATTTAAAATAAAAAGAAGCAAGCAAACTACAAATCTGCCTCTGCACTCTCAAGCCTCTTGGGGCTGGGGATACAAGTCCTATGCATCCTCAGCCAACGCTGGCCATGTGATTTAGGTCAGACTCCTTCTTCAGGGAGGTATTAGATTCCTAAATCAAACTCAGGGACTTAAGACATAGTTCCCTCTCCCATGTCTTGCTTTTCAGGAGTCCTCCAGGGCTTGTAAGTACCATATTCTGGGGGCCTTCTGGCATTCCTTCCCTCCCCCACTCTGTTCCATACATTTTGTTTTTATTTTTTTTTTTATTAAGAAGAGCTGATAAGATATGTAGAATCCAAGACAGTCTTCCAGACAAGTCCTGCCCAGAGGCAGTAGGGTCCTGGGCCCAAGGAAGAAGAAAGCAGCTGATGAGGACGGTCTTCCTGAAAGATGCCTGGAAAGGTAGGTGGAATCATCAACCACCCTGAGTTCAAATTTGCCTCTATCAGTGATAAAGGAAACCGTCTGACAGAATTTCCAAGAGTATTGAAACCAGGTATGGTCCAGGTAAATGGCTCTCTCTTGCAGCTATGTCCAGGTAATGTCAAATACTGACACTCAGTGCCATGGCCACCTTATCCTGATGAAGACAGCATAGTTTCACCATCTATCATCAACTTGAGTCTTTTTTTTAAATTAAATTAAGAAATCTGCTGAGCAGGTGACAATGAAAAGCAGATTTCAGTGGTGACAATTACAAGTGCATTATTTATCACATGTATGGCTGCTTCCCACAGCTACTTCCCCCATCTCATTGTGGGCTTGTTAAAGTAGATTTTACATTCTCGGAACTTTGAATCCAGCATCTCCAACACAGGGAGGCCTTCTGTGCTGATCTGCAATGAGGGAGAGACAAAGAGAAAACTAGGCAGATAGGGAGAGACAGCAGGGCCAGTGGAGACAACGCTTCTTCCTGAAGACCCTGGAAGACAGAGGTAGTAACACTGAGACAATGCTCTTTATAACCCTAGAATAGACCTGTGCAGAGGCAGGTGTCCCTCCCCTTGGGTTGATGTGGGCAATGACCCAACAGATGCCAGAACAGCTGAGATTCACCCAAAGAGATATAAAAGGGAAACCTCACAAATGCTACAACAGACTCCCAATTTCCAGATCCCATTTCTCATTCTCTTGCCTCAAGAAATCTGTACTGCCCTCCTACTCCTCCTCTTCCACATCTTCTTCTTTCTCCTCTTTCTAGGGCATAAGGTAGCTCTCCCAGCCAGGAATCTTAATTGGGGAGGGGGTGGGTTATGCCAACCCCCTAGAAGCCAAGAGGCCATCCTCACCTTCCTTGGTGCCTTACTCTCACTTTCAAGTAAACTTTGCCTCTGCTCCCATTTTCCTACATCATAATTCTTTGGTGGAGGAAAGAAAGGACCCTAGATGGTAGCAGCAGTGCCTAGGGTAGCATTGCCTGTGACTGTTGATTCCCCCCCCCCACCATTGTCCCGACCCTAACAAACAATGAAGGTTATTACCTGAGGAATCTGCTATTGTACTGTATTGGGAAGGACTGTAGGGGGCCTGGAAGAAGGCTTTAAAAAGCAAGGACCAATAGGTTTGAGGAACATGGAGTTAATTAAAGCCAGAGAGTCCTTGCTGTGGAGCTTTGAGAACATTGAAGATGCTGATATAAATTGAGTCTCCATAAGCAGGGAGAATGTGCAGGGTTTGGAAGGAAGTTTTTTTTGTTTTGTTTTGTTTTTTTCTGAGAGTAGTCTATGGCTGTCCCCAAGGGTTTCCAAACTCTGGAAAAATGTTTCACCAACCCATGTTGTCCGTTATTGTCACTTCTCATGGTGTATGGGAAATATGCCCCTAAAAATGAACCCCTGTCTGTTGGAATCCTGATTCTACCATTTGTTTATCATGTGTCTCACTTTCCTTGTATGTAAAACAGGGGAAAGAGCTTATCCAGTTATCATGGATATTAAATTAGCTACTCTCTGTGAAGAGCTCCAGACAGTAAATTCATACCACATATAGCAAATGTTTCTCTACTTCTTTGTTGATATAGAAAATAGGCCACAAACTCAGAGCATTTCACAATATCTAGCCACAATTTGTGTCTTGTTTCCATTGCATTTGCTAATTGGCTATTTGTACTAGTGATAAAATATTTGTGTTAAAAATAAATGCATCTAGTCTGGGAATGTGGCTTAGTGGCAGAGTGCTTACTTAGAATACATGAAGTCCTGGGTTTGATTCCTCAGCACCATATAAACAGAAAAGGCTGCAAGTGGCACTGTGGCTCAAGTGGTAGAGCACTAGCCTTAGCAAAAGAAGCTCAGGAACAGTGCCCAGGCCCTGAGTTTAAGCCCCAGGACTGACCAAAAAAAGTGTCTAAAAAGAAATACTGACACCTCTGGTTGATCCTAGGGTCTGGCATGTACTAAGCAAGGGTCTACCACTGAGCTGTACCCCAGCCCTACAAAAAGAAATAATGGGGCTGGGAAGGTGGCTCAGTGGTAGAGTGCTTGCCTTGCATGCCTGAGGCCCTGGGTTTGATTCCTCAGCACCACATAAGCAAAAAGCAAAAAGCCAGAAGTGCTGTGGCTCAAGTGGTAGAGCGCTAGCCTTGAGCTGAAGAGCTGAGGGACAGCGCCCAGGCCCAGGCCCCATGACTGGACCCCCCCCCCCAAAAAAGAATGTAGTATGTTTTAGGGGGAAAAAAGGTTAATACACAAATAACAGGAAAAAAAACTTCATGGAAGTAGAATAAAAATGATGATACTGATATGAAGGAAAAAGTATTTTTTTTGTTTGTGGTCAATTGTGAGATTTGAACTCAGGGCCTGGGCAATGTCCCTTTCTTTTTTGCTCAAGGCCAGCACTCTACCACCTTGAGTTATAGTGCCACTTCCAGGTTTTTTTGAGTGGTTAATGGAGACAAGGGAGTCATGGGACTTTTCTGCCTGGGCTGGCTTTGAACCACAATCCTCAGATCTCAGCCTCCTGAATACCTAGGACTACAGATGTGAGCCACCATGCCCAGCTGAATTTTTTTTTTAATCGAGTGCACTGAAGATAGCTCTTTTATTTTTGCCATTACCCCCTAAACAGTTTCATAACTATTCACATAGCAGGTACATGGTATTAGGTGAAGGGTCTAGAGACAATGTAAAGTATATTGGAAGATGGATTTAGGTTATTGCAACACTAAACTGTTTTATGTAAGTTTTATATGCATTAGCATCCTTGGGCCTTTATGATATGCAAGACTGACCATGGCATGAATCCCTAGTGGACACTGAGGTAGTACCTGTACACATACAGTTGTTACCAACAGTCAATATCTGGCTGTGATATCCTTTACCAGGTTTCTTGTTTGCTTTGGTTTCTGGAAGCTCTACCTAAGCCTTTCATTCTAGACAAATATAGCCAAGTACAAGACAATTCCTTTTGCCCCTCCCCCACCCTGCACCCCTACCCCTTGGGCTGCCATTTCCTTGGCATGTCCATCTATTCTTGCTGGAATTTTTTCTCCCTAACCCCTTCTTGCAAAAGCATTTCATCAGGCAGGAGTGGCTGGGGAGACTGTGGCCACCTCCCAGTGACAGGGCTGCCAAGAGCATGAGCCTCATTGCTGACTCTCATTGCCCCTGCTCGTTCTCACACAGGGTGGAGAATCCGTACCCTTCTAGGAAAAGCACCCCTCCACACACACACACACACACACACACACCTCCTCAGAGCCCATGTGTACAGCAGGAGTGTCATTATTCTGGGCCTCAATGCATAGTACAGGTCTTTGTCAGAGGAAATGCAAGCCCAAAGGGACAAAAGCAAGCTCTAGCATCATGCTTGAGAGGCTTGGAGAACCTGAACCTAAGGGTAAGGTGGAAGGCAGAGGGGTGGAAGGCAGAGGCAATGACTGCTAGATACAGAAGGAGTCTGGGAGCTACAGTAAAACAGCAGAGCCATGGGAAGTTAATAGAACCAGGTGAGGATGCCAGCAGAGCAGTCCTGAGACCACCATCAACTCCAGAGGTCAAGAAGATCATGAGCATGAGCTAGGCTGCACCTACCAAGGGCCAAGTGGAGAAGGATTTGCGACATCCACGACAGCATCCTTCAAGCCACACATGGACCAGTCTGCATAAGGCAGAAGCCCTGTACCTAGGGCTAAAACAGCTAGGCAAACTAAAAAACTAGCACCTCCAAAACCAGAGGTGAATCTTAGGAAAGCAGGCTTAAACCTATGACATGACACTCAGTTCTGGCAGACTGGATGTTTGTGTGTATGTGTCCAGGGCCAAACTGTCTCTAAAGGGATCAGAAAGAGAACTTTATGCTCAGGTCTGTCTGAATGCAAAGCCAAAAACAAAAAAGGACAAGAAAAAGAAGAAAGTCTACATTTCCTGGAGAGTGGTCACTGAAGAGTAACTCTGAGCTATACATATACATACTGGGAAAAACCTAAATGACAAAGGGACTCAAGCACAATCTTCGCATAAGTGACTTCTGCAGACCTAGAAGAATCCTGTGGTAGCTAGACCAGAAGTTAAAACGACATTTGGGGTGGGGAGGTACAGGGGAGAGATCTTACTTGAGACATTGCTGAGCCCCAGAAAAGGATATTAT